GCTGAACTCTCCCTCAAAAATTCATGAAAATTGGGCCTGAAGTTTCTTCGTAATCCTAAAAATTGCCACTAAAAACCTCCTTTTCTGAGGTAAAAATCCAGATATGTCTCATGGGAAATAGAAATAAAACTGTTCTAATTTAGTAGAAAATTGCGTGTTAATGAAGGTTCACATTGTTGATAGTAAGAAGCAAATAGAGAAAATACGTTTTCAGGGCTTTTAAGAAAACATTTATTGTTGTGTTGTAGGTCTTTAATGCTGCCCTTTAGGACTACTGTAGAGGTAAACCTGTGGACCCTGCCACAATCAGTCCATAGTATTTCAACACAGGGCAAATTTAAAATGTTGATACACAAGTAATGTAGTAAAAAAGTAGTGAGATTGTTTTGTCTTATTTCTATTTGGGGGGTTAATCATACTGTAAGTAACAGTTCAGATAATTTGGGGGTTTTGTTAGATGTAAACAGGAAGTATAATGTTGTCGTGGAGTCCTGGTGTTTGCTACGGGCTACAGCTTGAGCCGGGTATGTTTAGCCAATATATTTCTTTACATTTTGGCAAATAAGCAGCATTAAAGTGTGCCGAATTATCTATAAGTAGTTCCTGTTTGTAAGGTAACCTACTGTAGTACAGACAACTGTCACTGCATGACTTTGACACTGAAGGAAACCTAAAAACGTAATGATTCTCAGGCAAGTTCTCATCATCATTTCTAACCAGAGAGTTATGACCAAAGTGATGTACAGAACAGGAAGGAACTAATGAGCTCTAACAAACTTCCCCAGAGTAACTAATCAACTCCTTGAGAGTAATTTATTTCAGTTTTTTTTTTTTAAAGAACTGTTTCGCTGACTGAGGTTTTTGACCTTTTCTACTCAAGTTCAAGGAACTGCAGTCACCTCTATCACCACTTAAAATCATTGCAATGTCTTCATATCTGCCAGACACCACATATTGCTCCGGCAAGAGTCGCTTAGTCAGGTTTAATGGCCCAGATTATTGATTAACAGTCTCAGTATTTACTGTGTTGCACACTCGCGCACTGCAGGGCGGCCCACAGGGTGCGATGCACTCAGCAGCATGTGACTGAGGCACTAAACTCGTCTTATTTCACTGGAGACATCCTCTAAGTGTGGAGGTTGTTTACAGTGTGACTGATCACTGTTTCTCCTCAGTGGTCGGGCGTTCGTGCAGCAGCGCACCTGCAGGCTTCCCGGTGTGACCACATGTTGGACACCGGGCCAGTCGATAGGAGTGTCTGAGTCTGCTCTGTTGTGTATTTTTGGAACAGTTGACTGCGGACAGATATAATTGCCTTCAGTCGAAGCTTTACTTAAAGATTACATGGTCCTATTCTAAGAAGCAGATTTATCTTTTGAGTTAAACACAGAACGTGTTTGCTCTTTGTTTCCAGATTTTTGGGTGTTTCTTGTTTTGTGACTCTTGTGAGTCATCAAGATAACTCAGTGAACCTGCTTCCTGGAAGCTTCAATTTCCAAACAGATTTGAGAGACTTAAATTTGATATTATCAACAATGAAAACTTTGTCGGTTTCCTTGAAAGATCCACATAAAGGTGACGAGATGGAAAAGGAGAGAATGAGGGAAATTGTTCTGCTTGTGCTGATGTAAAAATATGACTAAATATTTCCAACCAAGCTTATTATAGTTAACCAAAAGTAAACACAAAAACCTAAAATAGGTGTGAATAAAAATAAGAAATGTTAGAAATGTTAGTATGTACTAAAAAAACTACTAAAATAAAATAAATTTGTACAGGAAGTGAGAAATCAGTGGTTCCCAAACACTTATGGTGGGGTTGCGAGGCCTTCTTGATTTTAATGTGTGCCAGAAAACTTAAAAAATAAACACAGTAGGCCTGAATCTCAGCATTTGTTTCACTTCTGTGAAGAAAAGTCATTTGTCTAATAGAACAATAGTGAAGCATTGAACAAAAAGGAAAACTTTTTATACTTTTATTTTGAAAGGACAGAAGATAGAGACTCAAACCCATAGCCTCAACCTTTGTACACGGGACGTGATGAGCTACCAGGGCACCCCAAAACTAAAGATTTTTAATAATAACTGTGTCAGAAAAAGAAGAATATGGTGTCTTAATGCTGAAACACTTTAACAAAAAGACCTCATTCAGGAGGCAGATCACGACAGGCTTGTTAATACTTTGTAAGCCGACGATTTGACGGACTTTGCTCCAGAATTACTTCCCTGAGATCTCTTTCTGAGAGGTGCTCATCAATGCTTCAGATATATCTGTTAACTATTAACAGAGTGCTGTGCAATGCCAGAGCCTCTGCTCCCCTCTATCAGGGTTTTCTAAGATAAGCCGTCTGAACCCGTTGCCTTATCTTTAAACCTCATCCTTAACTGCTCTGTAACCGGTGTGGCTGCATTACAGTCTGACCTAAAAGAGGAAGAATTCTTCTTCTTAAAGGAGCAGAGGCAGAAAATAAACTGTAGACTGTAGCTGCTTCAAACAAGTGGGCTTATATAAGCTAAAGTACTGCGTGATTTTCATGTATGATTTGCTTTATAATACCTCAACTCGCTGTGTCTGCCCTCGTGTAAACTCTGAGCCCTTTTTTTTGCTAAATCCAGATTATGACCATTAGTCACAGTAGTAGGCGCTCCATTAACGTCGCCACCCGTGATGGACTAAAGTAGCCTTAGAGCAATAACGGCACATAAACGGGGCAAAGAAAATGCCAATTACGCTACCTCATGATTTTAAAATAGTCACAGTCATCTTTGACCAGAAACGAGTCAGAGCAGATGTGGTTTTACTCGTGACGTTGAGCACTTTTACACACTTTGTATTGCTTCATTTAGTCAGTGGAAAGTATTGCAAAAGGTATATTCACTTCTACGGTCTATAAAGAAACAACCTTAATCTGAAATATAACCAGTTACTGCAGGTATGCAATGAATATTGGAGTAAAAAAAGTACAATATTTCCATCTGAACTGGAGGAGAGAAGAAATAGGAAACATTAATTTAAAGTACTTAAAGCAGAAACAAGGAACTTATGAGTTTGTGTTGATTATGGCGCCCCCTGTGGACAGAAGCGGTACTGTTTCCACCGCTCAGTTTCATTGAGTTCAAGGGGAATTCGACCCAGTGGAAGAATAACTTTATGGAAAATCGTCTTGTTGATGGTGTTGTTTGTTTATGTCGCTCATATAGCAGCATTAAACTGAGTAATAACCAGTTTAAATGCAACTATTATCAATTAGCAGCATTTTTTAAGCTTTAATCTGTTGGAATTAAGCTAACAGGTTACTGTCATGTGTTCTGCCATTATTATGAGAGCCAATAGTATCATTCATGTAAGTTATTGCAGTAATATTTTATAGATTTATGTCCGACTACACGTCAGTAAGAAGAGCTTTTTTTTACACACTAAGTGAAAAACATTCAATCGTATGCAGACACCTCATACAGACACATATTCAGCTCTTTTTACTGAGCACATATCAGTGCTTTAAAAGTGCTAATTAATTCACCACCACTCTCAGGAATACGTTGAATTTCCTTGAGATCGCAGCGTTTTGAGTGTAACTGTTACACTTGTGTGAACTGTGGTTTCCTCGATGCTTTCAAGTGTCACACTATAGTTTCTATATTTTTAATAAAACTGTTAAAATGTATTGTTATGTCTGAGGTTTGGAGTTTGCAGATGCTGTTTTGGTAAGAATTATTTTATTATTTGGTTTAATTAGCACAACTGATGATTCATTTTAATTTTAAATGCAACAATGTGATGTTCTGCTATATTCTCTAATGAATTGTCTAGTTTTAGTTACTCTTTGCTTTGAGGTAACTTTCCGGCAGTACAGATTAGATTAGATTATTTATTAATACTTAGAGTTTAACATAAATATATAAATAAATAGTTTGAATAGTTTATACAAGCTAAAGGAGACGACATTATACATTTTATATAGTACAAATTATCACAAAACACTAATAAATAAGAAATTCACTTACGTTTGCTAATAATTTATGACAATAATTACAGTTGCAGACATTATTAGCAAAATATTAAATGTATATTAAAAGAATCAAAGCTCTAATGTTACTTATTTCTCATATTTAAATGTTGCTGGTTGAGATTAAGGTCATTTATATAATTATTAATAGTTTAATCCCTCACAATGAACACACAGAACATTACCTCCTGAACATTACCTCCTGGTAATGTTCTGTGTGTTATTGATCGTATCTATAGCTGATTAAATAAAAGCATGTGTTACCTTTCCACTGCAGTCAAACACCAGAGGAACTGCGGTGGATTAAATCTGGTGAAACATTTCCAAGCTCACATTGTGTTCTAGTTTGGTTGCACATCTGGTATGAAAGTCACGTCCTCTTGAGTTTGTTCCTTTCAAACATCAAAAGACGTTTCGCAACATGACGTGCGGCGGTGAATATCTGTAAAACTCCAGTATGCTGGTAGCAGACATTAAACTGATGTAAGAGGCCATAAGAGCTGCTGGTTTTTGTAGTTTTATAGGTTTAAGGCACAGTATTAAGGCACAGTGCTGCTGTGAGCTAAAGGCTAATATAAGCATGATAATGTAATAGCAACAACAATGCTAACATGCTAGCATAACGTTTACCGTGTTCACCGTCTTAGTTTAGAGTCTAGTTGCTAATTAGCACTAGTTTTTTGGACAAACTGACATTTTTCAACCAGTGAGGTTGTGGCCATCGATCGATTAGTCGAAATTAATCAGCAACTATTTTGGTAACAAAAGTTTTCAAACACATTTTCCAGCTTCTCAAATATGAGGATTTGATGTCTTTCTCTCATATATGGCAGTAAACAATAATGAACACGTCACTTTGACGATTAAAACTTTTTTCGACTAAAATCATTAGATTTCATTAACTGGAGGGAACATGAATGTCAAAATATAAAATAGTCTGGTAAGTGCACGTCTAAAAATCAAATTTTCTTCAATAATAAGACTAAAACAAGACTTTATTTCTTAAAAAGAAGTGTTTTATTTCCTTTTTAACAAAGCCCAATACAGATTTGAAGCAAAACTGGGGAAACACTGCTAAATCTCAATCCAATCATGTCAGGGGACACCCACAAAAAGATGAGTTTCAAATAAAATAAAAAAGAGAGACACCTAAAATAATCATACAACCCAGAACTGGGGCCAAAGAAAATAATGGTGCATGTTGTCCAAGAAAAAATTGACAATAAGAAACAAAACAGTTCATGCCAGCAGCTGTTGGGGAGGTAAATAAAAATCAGACTTGTAGTAGAAATAAATGTCAGATATGACAGATCTTAAAACTTAGAATAAATGATATTTTACTATCAATATGCTAAAAAATTAAAATCCTGCGTGAGTAATCTGGTCAAATACATCTAAAATAAAACATTTTTACACGTGTGCGTCAACAGTAGCTTCCTTAAGCTGTGAAACAGTTTTGCCTTAAAGTTCGGGACTGAGAATAAAACAAGAAAATGCCTAAAAATGTTCTTTTTTTTTGCATTTTCTCTCAAAAAACAGATGATAAATGCATTGTTTTATTCTTTTGACAGGAAGTGACACAAGTGGAGGCTTTTAAGTTGTGCCACAAATTGAGAGAATTAAGAGTCAAATTTGACAAAAATGCAATAATCAAAATGGGTTAACGTCTTTTTTTTTGTTACAACTAATTTGTTACACAAAGATATACAATATAATAATTTGACAGCTGTGCTGACCTTGAATACATTTCGTTTTTGGGGGTGGGGGCTGGAATAAAAGTACCACATCTAAAAAGAATTTAACGGCAGGTAGATCTAGGATTGTAAAATACATTTATTATTATTAATGGCAGACATTTTTTTTTCATTCATCATTTGAGCGATCTAAAATGTATTAATTGGTTAACGAGGCGGACAAATTTGGTAGCGCCTCGACACGTTTTAGGAGCATCTTACCGATAGTACCGGTTCACCGGGTTTACAACATGTACCAATCACTCTTTTTTAAATCGTGGACTTGTAGAAGTTAGAATAAAGATGAGGGGGGAAAAGAATAAAATGTATTCTGAGCTGTGGCTAAATATTTGTGTGAAGGATTCAACTGGCACATGTTGTCCTTTTTGTGAAATATGAAATTACGGACAGATCTGAAATGAGCTGATCCACCTATGTAAACACAGTGATTTTCTGATACAGAAAAATACTACATGGACAATGTATATTGATCTTTTAATAACAATATCCATCGGTTGAAAACAACAGTCTGCTTTTCTTTTTTTAATATATTCTCATGTGGGAACATATATATATAATTTTATAACAAAATAAATCTATACTGTTGGTTTATTTTATCCGTGGTGATGGTTCGATAAGGGGTCGTACAATCCCATCATCCCATTCTCTGAGTGCTCGAAACTGCATGTAGGCTTAACTCTGTAAGAAATAGTACTTGTGACTGAAGCAGCTCAAATACTCAAAAAGGCTCTGCCTGAGAAGAACATTAGTTTGAAGCAAAAAAAACAAACAAAAAGACTAATAAAATACTCATCTTTTCCATCTTTATACCAGTCGTTAAAGTAATTTATAATAAAGTGTATGTTGCTATTATTATTATAATCTTTTTTTTTTAAATCATAAGCAGTTTTTTCTTTACTGTATCTTGGCATTTTGACACAAAATATCCTTGTGGATATTTACACAGGAAAAGATACTTTTCAAGCAATAAAAACAAAGCTTATATTGTGGGTTGCAAAAGAATAAAAACAACAATTCTGAAGAAATAATGGAGAGAAAGAATTGCATAGCAGATCAGAAATATAACTAAAACAAGGAACTGATCCTTTTTGGTATGGTGCACTTTTGATTCATGACTTTTGCACATTTTTCACATATGTACATGAAATAGTCCATTCATAGTTTCACCTGCCCACAGTAAAAGATCAAGTTTACTTCTGCGCTATAATGCTTGACAGTAAGAAGGCAGGACGCAGACGTCTTTCGTCCTTTTCTGCTCTTCTGATAAAAGTCCATAGGAGTCTTTTCAAAACAAAAAAAAAGAAAATTAAACTTTGTTTAAAAAGTGCCATTTTGCTACATTTATCAGCCGACCGACGGTCTGCTACTGAACAGTTAACACAAGCGAATGTGTTACACAGCTTTACCTCCCCCCTCTCCCGCCCGCCCAACGTTTCACACAGTTTCCTGATTCTATGAGTTTTGGTCACATGGACAATCACACACACACACACACACTCACTAACATACATACACAGAAACACTTGTGCAGAAACACACACACAAACACACATAGATGACGTGAAAGGAAAAAAAACAAACAAAAGTGGAAAAACAAAGTTGTGGCCGGCGGGTACAGTTTCCATTTGAAGAGTTTATCTGCTGCGATTAGACATTCCCGGCTGGTAAAGCTTTGAAAAAGAACAAGCACCATTAAGGAAAAGGCCTCAAAATGTCCTCTGCTGGGGGAGAAGTTAAGCAGTTTCCCGCTTGATTCTGTGCTCCCGCACAAAGCAAAAAGAAAGAACTCTACATTCAGACTCGCCTCAGGCTCGTGGGTCAGGCAAAGTCACTGAAATGTTTCAGGCTTTATTGCGTCTTTGTCCTCCGATTTTCAAGTCTGAGTTAGGCAAACAGAGTCTCCAACTCCCAATGAGGCCTTTTTCTCTCGTGTCCATGTGTGGATAACATCTGGGGGGGGTCCTCACCGTCTCTGCTGGGCATAGACCGGGTACGCTAGCGTCACATTCAGAGAGTCATTGTGCTGGACCAAAGACGTGTGCTGGTAGTGAAGTACGAGTTCTTTTAGTGAGCTGTACAGGTTGTACGGCTCGGCGAAGCCATAACCTGAGGGGGTCTTGTTGATGACGCAGTGCTTCACCTCGCCGTCCACGCTGCAAAAAGAGGAAGAGGAGGAGGACAATGGTCACAGTCTGTTCTGTGTCTGCAGGCTATAAAAGTGCTCTTTCTAACCACTTCAATCTTTATAGAGTAACACTCGCTAGTTTAAAATAGTCAGACGCACATATGTACATTAAAAGAGGTTTCACTTTTTGTTCCTCCTTTTTATACAAAGTTAGTTTCTAATGCACTTTCAGTGTCGTTTGTGCTAATCTGAGGCTAAAGGCTTCAGCAGTCTGTTAGACACAAACCGATTCAATTAGGAGGATATCCGCTTTATTTATCAGACTCAAAGACTGCTGAAGCCTCATTTACCTGCAGATAAACTATATGTAATTTTGCTTATATTAGCAGAAAGACAAAAAATAGGATGACATCTCTTAATGTCCAGTACAAACAGTTGAAATGATTACAACTGTTTTAAGAAACCAGGTAAAATACGTACACAACGCTGCAGGCGTAGCATCCCGCTTTGCTGCTGTCTCGAACCAGGAATGTTCCGTCTCTCTTTCCTTGGAGGAGAGCCTCCGCCTGTAGTCGGTTGATGTTGCCCAGTTTCCAGGACCGTTCGTCGTGATGAGGAAGGTCTTCGTCGTCCTCCACCATAGAATATTGACTGGAGGGAACAAAGCGAGTTAAAAAAATGTAAAAGTATTTACACTTGTTTTTGGTTCATTTGTTGAAATAAAAATGGACACTCACTCTTCTGTGTTCTCGTTCTTGATTCCGAGCCACTCATTGAGTTTCTTCTGTCTGACTCCCTTCTGGGTCAACCACCTAATGAGAGAGAGACAGCACGAGGATATTAGAAACCAGGGCAGACCCATTTTTGATTTTCTCTCCGGAGAGAAGCTTCAGAAGAGTTCTGTACTTACATGAGATACTGGTCTCTGGTCTTGCGGAGCTGGATTAGGTCTGGTTTGATGCTGTTCATCCTCTTGTCAATCTCTCTGTAGTCTGCCGCCTGTTTCTTCAGATCTTCCTCCAGCCGCCGCTTGCTGTCGATGATTTCACTAATCCGGGACTTTAATTTCTCATAGTTGCCCATGATCCTGAAAGCAACAGTGAACAAATATTCTGTGAGTTTTGAACATAATTTGACTTTTACTCTCTGGTACGGTCATTTCTTTTACACTAACATTGTCAAATGTGGCGTATTCTCACCTCTGGATCTCCTTGTCGTTGCCTTCTCTCCTGAATTTCTCGATATACTCCTTGCTGTATCGCTCTTGCGTTTGGCATTGCTCCTCAAATATCTTTATGGTTTCATTAAAAGCCTCGATGGCCGTCCTTTTCATTTGGATTTCCTGGAAGCAGAGGCACAGTTTTAGCGTATGTCGTACAAATATTGCAGTAAAATTCTCGTTTCGCTGGCGGGTCGACTCTGGTCGGTACTCACTTGTGACGTTCTGGTGTATTCTTCATACAAGCGGTCGTACTCTTTGTTTTTCTCCTGGTACTGCTGGTGGTACTCGCAGAGCTTCCTCCCCACAGCGTCAATGTTGTCTTCTTTCACCACCTGATCCTGAGAAAAGATTCACAGCCAAGACAGTGAGTTGCAGTTACGTTGCTTGAACGTAAGCGTCGTAAGGTAAGCGTGCTGGTCTAGACCGAGCTGACGTCTCACCTGCTGGTGTTTGGAGACCGGATACAGCAGCTTGACGTCTAGCTTGGGGTTGTACTGCGCCAGTGACTCGTTCCGATAGTGGTTGATGAGCTCGACGACGGAGCTGAAGGTCAGTGGGTCCGAGAAGCCGTACTTCCCATCCCGATGGAATATCTTAATGAGCTTGTTGTTTCCTCCTTTCCTGTAGATGAAAAACACAAAAAAGGCAACGAAACCGGTTAAACTTACTGCTAAAAAAATAAATAAAAGATGGTCAATAAGAGGATTTCAAACAGGAAGGAGAAAGGAGCTCACCTCAGAGTCAGAGTGTAGTCTCCGTGCATCTTCGTAGAGGCATCTCGCACCAAAAACGTACCATCCGCAGTGTCCCTCAGTTTCTCATTGACCTCCTCTCTTGAGATGTCTCCCCAGTACCATTCGGCGTCTTGTAGAGCCATGTTGTTGTTCATACCGTTGTTAGTCACAGATGTGGGCTTCGGTGGCTTTGGAGGTAGAGCTGTGGGAACAAGGAGTGAATACAGAATGTGAATTGGATCCAACTCACATTTACGTTCTCAGCTTTTTAATGAAATTGCTGATTTTCTTCTTTAAAAGCTGCAGAAAATACAACTGAATACCAACATTTGAGCAACACTGTTGTTGCAGATGCTGGACATCACACACACACACACA